GCTCCTCCGCTTCCCTGATGCAGGCAGCTCGCCTGGACATTGTTTGTGGATGGGCTGGTGGGGATACGCGAAGTTTCAGGAAGTACTGAATTGCCCGCTGGCCTTACTGACGGACTGGGGTCCCACCCATGGTGGGACATGGACAATTATTTCTCCGCGGCACCCGCCGCGCAACACGACGACGAGAAGAAGGAGAAGAGTGTGAGCAACGCCTTCGGCGAATACTTTGTCGATATACATCGCAATCCGTACTCCGTCAGGCATGGTTAATCAGGGAACGAGCATTATTCCCTGGGGTGTAGAACCCCCCAACGCTATCCAGCCCACCCAACAGTAGAGGGAACAGAAACTCCTCCGCGACGACGACGACGATCCTGACTACGCCTACGATTACGACTACGATTGCGACTACAACCGCAACTACGACTACAATCATGCTACAATCACGATTGCAATCACGATCACAATCAGGACTACAATGGCAACCACTGGTTTCTATAGCAATCCTCACGACGGGTTGCCCACATAACCTTTCGCGCGTAAGATGCCCCACCTGGGAGGAAGATACCCCGCGACATCACCCAGCCCGCCCAATCATAGAGGGATAACTCGCCGATCCAGCGTGTGAACTACAATGAGCCTGAGCAAAAGCTTTCGGGGATCTTCTGACCCGGGTCAATCCAGACCCGGGTCAGTGGGAAACCAAAAACTGCAATGCAGGACAAAACACTGCAACGCAGATCTTCGCAAACCCGGGTCAGCCAATAGGCGCGGCCGCCTCGCGGCCACGAGCGGCTCGCTAACCCGGGTCAGCCAGAGGGGGTCTTCGCAGGATCCTGCAGGATCCGGCGCCCTGGCTGACCCCCGTCTGCACTGACCCCCGTCTCGAGGCTCCCGAAGCTTTAGCTCTGAACCCAAGCAAGAGCTTCAGCTCCAGTTGGGGGGGGTCGCCGGGGTGGCTTTGCCGGGGAAAGAGGGGAGGGCGGGAGGGCGGTCCCCCATCTGGCGTTTTCTCTGTGATCTGCGCATCCGGACCCCTCCCGGGGAAGGGGAGAGGGGAGGGGGGGCGGTCCCCCCTCCGGCGTTTTCTTAATGATTTTTGCGCATCCCCAGGATGGAGGAGGAGGAGGAAGAAAACCCCCTCCCCCTCCAACTTGTGGTGGCGGTGGGAAACGGGCCCATGGTGCAAGGGCCTCGGAAGGTCACGTCGCCGCTCCTCGAGCGCGGCGCGGCCAGCGAGAGAGGCCCAGGGCGGGCGAGAGAGGGGGAAGGACGCGCGAGGGCAGCCTTGAGACGTCGCTCGTCCTTAGCAGCCGTGTCGACGTGCACAGGCCGCTGGCAGCCTCAGAGGGCGCAGCGACGCGGCAGCGCTGCAGCAGCAGGCCGGCCCCAGAGGTCCGGGCGTTCTGCCACTCCGAGTGCTTTCTCGCCCTGGCATCGAGGCCCCGGGCGGCCCGAGGAGTGCGCAGAAAAATAGGGCCTCCTCCTCCTCCTCCTCCTCCTCCTCCTCATCCTCCTCTTCCTCCTCCTCCTCCTCCTCCCGCCTCCCTCCTCCTCCCGCCCACTCCCTTCCTCCTCCCGCCTCCCTCCTCCTCCTCCTCCTCCTCCTCCTCCTCCTCCTCCTCCTCCTCCTCCTCCTCCTCCTCCTCCTCCTCCTCCTCATCATCCCTCCTTCCCCTCCATCCTTCTCCACCCTCCTCCAGACTCCAGGCATGGATCCCAGGATACATCCAACGTTGTGGTGTTCGCGAGGTCGAATATCAGGGTAATGACGACGAGAGCAGGGGGACGACAAGATCGGCTTGCGGTAATTATGAGATCACCGAGGCCCAGCGGGCTCGGGCGCCGACGCCATCCCCCGAAACGCTCCAGGGCTCTGATCGAAAACTTTCCAAAACGCCCTAAGCATGCCCAGCCCAGGATGTGCGCTGAGAAGGAATATCAACAAAAACCGGCCACTTTGGACCGGCCATCCGGTACACGGTACACGGTACCGTCCATCCGGTACACGGTACACGTCCAGCAAACATGACAAGAGGTACCCCCGAGAGACAACGAGAAAAACCGTTAAAACACAGGCTCCGAAGACAGCTGAACCTTCTCTGGCTGCACGTAAATGAAGGGGCCCTGGGACACACAAATAAATGCACACAAATAAACATATTCCCCTTTATATTTTCCCATATTTTCTTGGTTTTTGTCTTCCCCATCACTTCCCATATTTTCACATATTTTCTGGGGGATCGACGATTCATTGTGTCTGTGTGTTTCTTTCCCTCCTGAAAGGTTGCTCTGGGATGGAGTGATACTTGGCGCGCGGCTGGCCGATCGTTGCCCGCGATGCGACTCGGGCAGCTTGCCTCCTCGGGTCTGGACCCCCCCCTGAGGGGCAACGACAGAGGGGGACTGGCATACAGTCGGGCGTTGACCTAAGGGACCCTAAATGAGGAACGAGGTCCCTTTTTTTCCATATGTTGAACTTCGATTTCCCATCGAAAACCCCAGGACAACCAACGGCAAGCTGTGAAACACTTCAGGAACGCGGAGCCCCTCCCCAACCAAAAGGGTTCCTTCTTCAGGGCCCCGACTGTAGGGGGGAAACATCGACCTGGAATCGGCCATACATCGCCGATGGATCGGCGATTGGCCCCCGATAGCAAACACACGCGATCCTGTGCAGGTTGGGGCTATCGGGCCCCCTATCGGCCAGGAGTCGGCGATCAGGGGTCGATGCATCCTCCCCTTTGCCTATCCCCCCTGTCATTGACATTGCTCCTGACCGCCACCACCCGCAGGCTGGCCACCAGAGGTCACCAAGGCGAAGGGTCAGGGTCTTCAGATTTGACCCTCCCCTCCCTGTTTCTCGCGTCGGCGAAGAATAAACTCTACCCGCCTCCCCCTCCTCCTGCTCCTGCTGCTCCTCCTCCTCCTCCTCCTCACCCTCCTCCTCGCCCTCGCATGTAGGCGACTCTCGGCACCCCCCGAGCGTGCACCAGTCCGCTCCGCCGGCACCTCCCGGGGCTCCTTGGCGCTGCCTTTCTCGGGCTGAGCATCTCTGACGGGGGGATAAGTATGGCGACCCCAATCCCCGACGTTTGGGTTTGTTGTTCGACCGTGCCAGAAATGTTGGGCCCGACCCTGGGATACAGTGGGGGGCCCATGCCAAGAAACACCCTTCTTGCCTCCCGGGTGCCCAAGGTTTCTTGGGTCCCAATGGTCTTTGTGTGAAAAGCGCGACGTGCCCACACCCAAAATCAGTGCGGCAGGTTCGTGTCGTGCCGACCCCAGCGTTGGTTTTTGACACCGCAGGGATCGTTCAACCTTGAACGATCGGCCATTTGCGCAACGTCCAATCGTTCAACATCGATCGATTCTGGGTCGCCGGCGGCGTTCAACCTTGAACGCCCGCGCTGGGGTCGCCGCTGGTCGACACGACGCAAACCTACCGTGGACGCCCTGGGATCTCAGGGTTGGGTTTCTTGGGGTCTCAGGGTTGGGTTTCTTGTGGAAGGTTTTGTGTGGTCGGACCTCCACTCTGCACCATGGGGGGCGTCCAACCTCGATGAGCTTTCGTGTGGTCGGACCTCCACGGAACACCATGGGGAGCGTCCATCCTCGGGGAGCGGGGGCGGAGGGAGGGAGGACACGAGGGAGGGAGGAGGGAGGCGGGAGGAAGGATAGAGGGAGCGAGGACGGGAGGGAAGGGGGAGGAGGAGGAGGAGGAGGAGGAGGAGGAGGAGGAGGAGGAGGAGGAGGAGGAGGAGGAGGAGGGGGAGGACGAGGAGGAGGACGAGGAGGACGAGGAGGAGGAGGAGGACGAGGACGAGGAGGAGGAGCAGGAGGGGCGCGTCGTCCGCATAATTAGCACCCTGGGGGAGTGTCCCACAGCTCCCCCCCGAACCTCTTGACCGGCCGGACTTTGCGGGCGGAGCTCGTGGATCGGGCGACGAGCGGGCTCCCCGAGGGTGAAGGGGCCCTGGGACACACAAAGAAATACACACAAATAGAAGGATCCACCATCATTTCCCATATCTTCGGGGTTCTTGTCTTCCCCCCCACTTCCCATATGTTCCCATATTTTCTGGGGAATCGACGATTAATTGTGTCTGTGTGTGTTTTTCCCCTCCTGACTGATGGCAGCATGCGGGGGCCAGAAGAAGAGAAAACACTGAACCATACACGGTCAGAAGGGGCCGCGCCACTTCTGTTGGATCGGCGCTGGCCCTGGGCCTTTCCTTCGGTGGACGTCTGCAACTGATGGCAGCATCCCGGAATGCGCCGGCCTGCTCCGCAGGCGCTTCCTCGGGAGTCTTGGCCTTCCTCGGGTTGACCATCTCGATCAGGGAGGTGAACTCCTGCCCGTACCGCCCCACGCAAGGAGCCGATCTCTACACCCCGAGTTTTTGTCCCCGGCCCCGCACTGAAATGCGCACAGGAAAGCGGATCCGAGTGTATACGGATCCTGGTGTGTATATATATATATGTAGAACGAGAGAGAGAGAGGGAGAGACAGAGAGGGAGAGAGAAAGACAGAGACAAAAAGAGAGAGAGAGAGAGAGAGAGAGAGAGAGAGAGAGAAAGAAAGAGAGAGGGAGAGGGAGAGGACTATGCTCGGGTTCCCTGGGGCCTTCTTGGGTTTTTTTTGGGTGGCTCTTCGGCGGTCTCGGGGCGGTCTGTGGGGCGTCTGCGGCCGTCTTCGAGCATTGGAAGCTCGAGAACGCGAGAAATCGAAAAACATCGAACATACCAATGCAAATCAATGATTTGGTGGGCCTGGTTGGGCTCTCTCGGGACGTGTTTCGGAACTCTCCTGGGCTCGCATGGAGGCCTTGTGGGCTGTGTGATTGCCATCTTGACCTCCTCTTGGGCCACGCTGGAATCATCTCGGCCGTCCTGGAGCGGCCATGGGCCTCCCGCTCCCGCTCCGCGGCCCATCTTGTGTCTCTCGTCGGATGTTCTTGGGCAGTTTGTGGCTGCTTTTGGGCAGTCGTAAGGCTTTCCGGAGCAGTGTTGGCGCTTTTTCGGGGGCCTCTTCGGCTACCTTGGGGGGATCTTCGGAGCGTATTCGGCCGTCTTGGACCGTTAAAAGCCGTCTGGGAGCTCCAGGGCCGCTCCGGGGTGTTTTGGGAACGGTCTGGAGACCCCTGGTCCTCCCATGCCCCAGGCGTTCGGGCCTTGTGTGCCGGGGAACATATATATATATATATATATATACTCCCTAACGGTCACATGGCGTTTGCGAAAGAGCCGTGCAGCGTGTGCTATCTGCCTGGCCCGCGTGTTTGGGCGAAACGTCATGTTCGCAGTGCTATCTGTCTGGCCCGCTTCCAACTTGTCTTAGAATGTGTGCCCCCCCTCGGGGCGTGTGCTATCTGCCTGGTGCGCCCGTGGGAAAGGAGCCTGCCCACCCCGCTCTCCCCTACCTCATCTGGCCACGCCCCCTGGCCTCGCTGCCCCCCCGGCCACCCCCGGGGCAGTGTGCTATCTGCCTGGTGCGCCCGTGGGGAGGGCTTCTTAGGAGGAGGGTGATGTTCACGAGGAGCACGAGAGCAGCATGAGGAGGACGAGGATACTTCGAGCGGCGGCGCCGCGGTTGTAAGGATGTCTCGAGCGGCGGCGCCGCAGTTGCGAGGATGTGTCGAGCGGCGGCGCCGCGGTCGTGAGGATGTCTCGAGCGGCGGCGCCGCGGTTGCGTGGATGCCCCGAGCGGCGGCGCCGCGGTTGCGAGGATGCCCCGAGCGGCGGCGCCATCCCGCTCCCCCGCCTCCCCCCCCCCAGGGCAGTGTGCTATCTGCCTGGTGCGCGCCCCTGGGGAGGCCGCGGCGCCGCGGTTGCGAGGATGCCCCGAGCGGCGGCGCCGCGGATGCGAGGATGTGTCGAACGGCGGCGCCGCGGTGGTGGGGATGTCTCGAGCGGCGGCGCCGCGGTTGCGAGGATGTATCGAGCGGCGGCGCCGCGGCTGCGAGGATGTCTCGAGCGGCGACGCCGCGATTGTGAGGATGTCTCGAGCGGCGGCGCCGCGGTCGTGAGGATGCCCCGAGCGGCGGCGCCGCGGTTGCGTGGATGCCCCGAGCGGCGGCGCCGCGTTTGCGAGGATGCCCCGAGCAGCGGCGCCATCCCGCCCCCCCGCCTTCCCCCCCCAAGGCAGTGTGCTATCTGCCTGGTGCGCGCCCCTGGGGAGGCCGCGGCGCCGTGGTCGTGGGGATGTCTCGAGCGGTGGCGCCGCGGTTGCGAGGATGTGTCGAATGGCGGCGCCGCGGTTGTGGGCGCCTCTCCTGGGCCCAAGGGGGCCCAGGAGGGCCCAGGCGTGTGCTATCTGTCTGGCCCGCTACCCTCCTCCTCCTCCTCCCTCCTCCTCCTCTCCTCTCCTCTCTCTCCCCCTCCTTCCTCTCTCCTCCCTCCTTCTCCTCCTCCTCCTCCTCCTCTCCTCCTCCTCCCTCCTCCCCTCCTCTCCTCCTCCTCCTCCTCCTCCTCCTCCCTCTCTCCTCCTCCCCTCCTCCTCCTCCTCCTCCTCCTCCTCCTCCTCCTCTCTCCTCTCCTCCTCCTCCTCCTCCTCCTCCTCCTCCTCCTCATCGCCTTCATCCACGCCGGTTGTGAGGATGTCCCGAGCGGCGGCGCCGCGGTTGCGAGGATGCCCCGAGTGGCGGCGCGGCGGTTGCGAGGATGTCCCGAGCGGCGGCTCCGCGATTGCGAAGATGTTTCGAGCGGCGGCGCCGCGGTTGCGAGGATGCATCGAGCGGCGGCGCCGCGGCTGCGAGGATGTCTCGAGCGGCGGCGCCGCGTTTGCGAGGATGCCCCGAGCGGCGGCGCCGCGGTTGCGAGGATGTCTCGAGCGGCGGCGCCATGCCTTCCCCCCGCCTTGCCTCCTCTTGAGCGCGTGCCATCTGAAGTTTCCTCTCTGTGCTGTCCCTCTGGACTGTCGTCGGGTGAGGACACGCGCTCTATCTGATATGCACAGGTTCGGGGGTCTGGGGGTCATGCGGTGCCATGTGTTCTGGCTGCTTCTGCGCCCCATCTGATCGTTAGGGTGTGTATATATATACATACATACATAGATATGCACATACATACATACATACATGCATGCATGCATGCATGCATACATATATATATATAAGCATGCATACGTGCATACATACATACACCTATACATATATATATATATACATATACACATGCATATACCTCTACATTTACATCTACGTAAACATCTACATACACAGCTACATCTACATCTACATTTACATTTTCATCGACCTACACATCTACATATACATATACATCTACATCTACATATACATCTACATATACGCATGCATTAACATACATATATACACACAAGCATCGATATATATATATATATATACAGCATTCATCTAAAAAAAAACAATACATGAAGCACGCGCGCGCTACCCGCGCTTAGGTTCTAATCGCGGCATCATGGCGCAAAAGGATGCCGCGGCAAGCAGTCCCATCCGTTAAGGGAGTCCTGTAGGAAGGCTCTTTTGCTGGCGAAGTGGCCTGGCGAACTGTCATGGGGCGATCGCCGGCGTCGCGCAGGCCTGGGAGCGACTCGAGCGGCTCGTGGAAACTCGTTGGGGGCGCTGGTCCTCCCACGCGGGGCGTCTTGGGCCCGAACCACATCGGTATGGGCGTCCTTTTGGGCTGCCGTGCAGCGTGGGGGTGCAGAACAGGCTGCATGAGTGAAAACGTGGAACAAACAAGGGGAGGGAACAAAACACAGAAAAAACAAGGAGCAAGGCCTCAAAGAGCCCTCAGAAGAGGCCTCATGGAAGCATGCCGTGTCGACGAAGTCGCTCGGGGGGGTCTCTGCGATCGTCGGCGTCGCGACGGGCCTGGGAGCGACTCTGGCGGCTCGTAGAGCCTCCTTGGGGGCGCTGGTCCTCCAGTGCGGAGCCGTTTCGGAGCACGGTTCGGAGCCCCAGGGGCCCGAACCACATCGGTCTGGGCGTCCTCTCGGGGCGCCGTGCAACGTGGGGATGCAGAACAAGCTGGATCAGTGAACACGTGGAACGACAATGGGACAGGCGGGACCAGCCCCTGGATTTCCCTGCAACCTCTTGGGGCTCTGATGGCTCCAGGTCGCCGAAGCCCTGTAAACAAACACAAGGAGAGTGCGCGCCGATCCTCCCATGCGGGGCCATCTGGGGACAAGGTTGGGGGCCTCTGGGGCCGAACCGGGACGGTCTGGGCGTCCTCTGGGGCTGCCGTGCGGCGTTGGGATGCAGAAGAGGCTGCAAGGAGAAAAACGTGGGAACAAACTATGGGACAACCAAGTGTTTGAGTTTTGTGGAGCTCTCCTGAAGGCCTCTGGGAGGCCAGTGGGAGACCTGGGGCACCAAGCGGGAACAGCCCCCAGAACTCCCTGCAACCTATTGGGGTTCTGCTGCCTCTGGGTCGCCGAACACATGTAAAAACACAGGGAAAGTAAGGCCCCGGGCCCCCCATGCGCCGCCGAGGTCCCTGGGCGGGACCCCCCCCCGGCCACGTCCCCCGGGATATATATATATATATATATATATATATATCCTAGACGACCACCCTGCGGGTGATAAGGAGGTTCGGGGGGGGGGGGAACCAACGTCTGATTCGATCGGTCTCCCTATCGATCTCACTATCGATCTTACTATCGGTCTCGCTCGATCGATCTCACTCGATCGATCTCGCAATCGATCTCACTCGATCTAGTTCATTCGAACAATCTCACAATCGATCTGACTACCGTTCTCTCAGTCGATCTCACGATCGATCTCACAATCGATCTCATATTCGGTCTCACTATCGATATCACAATCGAACATCAACATCATCAATATCATCGTCATCATCATCAACATCATCGCAATCAACGTCATTAACATCATCATGATCATCGGGACACCATCATTAGCATCATCACCTCATCACCATCATCATCCTCATCATCATCATCATCACCAGGAGCATCATCATCGGGACACCATCATCGTCACCATCATCATCAACATCATCATCAACGGGACACCGGCATCATCATCACCATGGGAACACCACCATAATCATCACCATCATCATCAACATCTCATCATCAGCATCATGAACAACATCATCATCATCATCATCATCATCATCATGACACCATCATCAGCAAACTCAGCATCATCAACGTCATCGCCATCGGGACACCATTATCATCGTCACCATCAGCATCACCATCATCACCGTCGGGACTCCATCATCATCATCATCATCATCATCATCATCATCATCATCATCATCATAATCATCAACATCAACATCAGCATCATCATCGTCACCATCATCGGGCCACCATCATCAACATCATCATTATCACCTCATCATCATCCTCATCATCAACATCATCAGCATCATCATCGGGACACCATTATCGTCATTACCATCATCAACACCATCATCATCAACATCACCATCATCGGGACACCATCATCATCACCATCAGCATCAACAGCATCATCATAAACCTCATCATCACCATCACCATCGGGCCACCATCATTATCATCACCATCTTCGTCATCATCATACCATCCTCATCTCATCATCGTCAACATCATAAACATCATCAACGTCATCATCATCATCATCATCAACATCATCATCATCGGGACACCATCATCATCATCATCACCCACGTTATCATCATCAACATCATCATCGGGGCACCATCATCACCACCATCACCATCATCATCATCATCATCATCATCATCATCATCATCATCAACATCGTCAACATCATCACCATCGGGGCACCATCATCATCACCACCATCACCATCATCATCATCATCACCATCGTCAACATCATCGACATCATCATCACCGTCATCATCGGGACACCGACGAGACACCGGCGGGACACCGCGCGACACCGGTTGCCGGAAGGGAATCATTTGGTCCGGCCACGCCTCAGCCACAGGAGACTTCCCTCTCGCCCGCCCACGCAGCTTCGCCTCGCCCGCACGCACGACACGAAACCGAAACCGATTTCCCGGTAGGGGGGCTCTCCGTTCCACTTCGATCTCACCCCCTCACCTCCGATATATAGATATGTGTATACATGTATATATATGTATATATGTACGTGTATATGTACATGTACAGGTATATGTATATGTATATGTATATGTATATGTACATGTATATGTATATGTATATGTATATGTATATGTATATGTATATGTATATGTATATGTATATGTATATGCATCTGCATATGTATATGTATATGTATTTGTATGAGTATGAGTATGAGTATATGTATATGTGTATGTATATGTATATGTATATGTATATGTATATGTATATGCATATGTATACGGATATGTATATGTATATGTATATGTATATGTAAATGTGTATACTCATCTGTATATCTATACATATATACGACCACCCTTCGGGTGATAAAGAGGTTGTGGGGGGAGAAACGGGTGGAAACCAACATCTGACTCAATCGCTCTCACTATCGATCTCACTCAACGGGACACCACGGGACACCACGGGACACTTGTCGACCTCACTATCGATCTCACTATAGATCTCACTCAACGGAACACCACGGGACACCACGGGACACCGCGGGACACCACATCGATCTCACCATCGATCTCACTATCGATCTCACTATCGATCTCACTATCGATCTCACTCAACAAGACACCACGGGACACCACGGGACACCTGTCGATCTCCCTATCGATCTCACTATCGATCTCACGTTTTGGGACACCACGGGTCACCACGGGACACCTCGGGGCACCACATCGATCTCAGTATCGATCTCACTATCGAACTCACTCAACGGGACACCACGGCCCACCACGGGACACCGCAGGACACCTCTCGATCTCACTATCGGTCTCACTATCGATCACACTATCGATCTTACCTAACGAGACACCATAGGACACCACGGGGCACCACGGGGCACATCGGGACACCACATCGATCACACTATCGATCTCACTATCAATCTTACTATCGATCTCACTCAACGGGACACCACGGGACACCTGTCGATCTCACTATCGATCTCACTATCGATCTCACTTTTTGGGACACCACGGGACACCTCGGGGCACCACATCGATCTCAGTATCGATCTCAATATCGATCTCAATAACGATCTCACTATCGATCTCACTCAACGGGACACCACGGGACACCACGGGACACCACGGGACACCACGGGACACCACCGGGACACCACGGGACACCGCGAGCCACTGCCGGACGGACGGACGGGCGGGTGGGGGAGAATCATTTGTCTTGATTTCGCCCTAGCATCGGCTGACACCACGGGACACCACGGGACACCGCGGGACACCGCGAGCCACCGCCGGACTGACGGACGGACGGGCGGGAAGGGGAGGATCATTTGTCTTGACTTCGCCCTAGCAACAGCGGACACCACGGGACACCATGGGACACCACGGGACACCGCGGGACACCGCGAGCCACCGCCAGACGGGCGGGAGGGGAGAATCATTGGTCTTGACTTCGCCCTAGCAACGGCGGGTTCATTCTTCTCGCGCGCTCACGCATCTTCGCCCCGCCCGCACGCACGACACGAACGAAACGGAACGATCTCCCGGTTGGGGGTCTCTGTTCCACTGCGATCTCACCCCCCAACCTCCGATACAACTATATCCGTCGAATTCCAAGGGTTAAGACCCACGAGCAAATTCGCCACGAAAACCCCTGTGTGCCGCTCCAAAACTGACGTCCTCAGAATTTATGGGAATGCCCTTGGACACGTACAACAGTAAAGGTTCGCGCCCCTGATGCCACAACCCCTTGCAAACTGAAATGGATTCGCGCTCCAGGGGCCACGTCCACTTGCGAGTTCCAACGCGCTCACGCTCCCGAACCCAAAGTCCATCAGAATGTACTACAGGGTCGCGACCCCGAGACCACACTCCCTCGCAAACTACGACGCCCTCGCGTTTCCGAGGCCATAACCCGCTACAAGGTGGACAAGTTTGCACCTTCGAGACCATAAACCCTTTTCAAGTACAGCGCATTCGCGTTCCTGAGGTCGCAACCCATCGCAGAATACAACGAACTTCGGAAGTCACCCCGCGTCCGCTCTCGGGAACCCACGATCAATTGTAAAGTACTTACATCCCTTCCGCGCCCACGAGCCCACAATCCCGAGTGAGCTACGACAAGGATGCGCCCTCGAAACCACAATCACGTTTCAGGTTCAAAACGCTAACGCGCCCAGAGCAGCAACCCCTGGTAGATTACAGCAGGGTGCGCGCTGCAGGGACCACACTCCGCTGCAGCTTACAGTGCGCTCACGCTCCTGAGGCCACTAGCTCACCCCACGGAGGCTGAGGAGGACGAGGAGGAGGAGGGCAGACATACTGTAGTTAGTGCTGGTTTCGGGTATGTGTTCGGGGGCGCGCATCGTCCCCCGTATAAACTCCTGCAAATTCTGCCCCGGATCAGAGGTCGCGAACACACTGACAGTGGCGAAAGGGGTGCGCGAGCCCTCGTGCATTGCAGTGCAGGCGCGCCCCCAAGGCCACCATCTCCTAGCCAGCACCTGGCCAGCAAGCAGCCAGCCCCAACCGGCTGCCAGCCACATAGTCAGACCACAGGCTATTCATCTGAATTGCCAGCCAGCCAACCGGCAAGCCACCAAACAAACGACCGAAGAAGCGTAGCCATGCAAGCAGTCAGAGGGGTGGAGGGGGACAGAGAGCGAAGCCCTTCACGTATCGAGCGACGAGCGGGGCCAAGAGCCCAGGACATGGTCGTAGAAAGCCCCAAAGGGCTGTCGAACTCTGAAAAGTTCCCCATCGTGCACGCATGTGTCTTGCGAGGGTTCGAAGTCTAAGAGAGTGTCTGCACTGTCCGTGGATGCCACTGACACGGGAGAGAAACCACACAAAAAACTGTGCTCACGTCATGGCGTACGACCTTCAATGATCGAACGGGTGATCGTCTTCAAAAGTGGCCAACTCACCTTCGGCAAGTAGGCACATGATCCGCCAAGCCCTCCATCGCACGTACGTTTTCCACATATCTCTCCTCTCAAGGCCCAGGTTAGAATATTATCCAGAAGGGAACCACAGTGGCAATTCAGTCAACGATTCAGCACGGGCTGGCAATTGCACACGATTCAGCATCGCTTGGACATGGGGCAACGACTGGAACGCGTCCTCTACTGACTGTCGCAGGGCAGAGCGAGATGCGGCGCTCCCCCGCACCCGCCACGTGGATGCCGCCACATCCGCCGCCGAAAAAAATCACACGCTCGCGCAGGACGCCCGTTGTGAAGGGGCCCTGGGACAGACAAATAAATACACACAAATAAAAATATCCCCCATATTTTCCCATATTTTCTGGGTTTTTGTCTTCCCCCCCACTTCCCATATTTTCCTATATTTTCTGGGAATCGCCGATTAATTGTGTCTGTGTGTTTTTTCCCCTCCTGATCTTCGGATGACGCCGCTGGTGCACAGAACCAGAGCCTGACCAAGCCAGCCCTGCGCCGAATACAGTCGGGGCGTTGACCTAAGGAACCCTAAATAAGGAACGAGGCCCCCTTTTTCCCACAAGTTAACCTTCGATTTCCCGTCGAAAACCTGAGGACAACCTGAGGCAAGCTGTGAAACACTTGAGGAGCGCGGAGCCCCTCCCCAACCAAAAGGGTTCCTTCTTCAGGGCCCCGACTGTACTGATGCACCATAACTTCTTGACAGCCGGCCAGGGAGCGACATCGCCGTGAGCCCCTCCGACAGGTCGAGCTCGCCAGAGCCATTGGCGTCCACCAGCTTGAAGGCCTCCTCCACCTGTAGACAGAGAGTGAGAGAGATAGAGAGAACGAGAGAGAGAGAGAGGAAGATCGACAGAGAGAGAGAGAGGTGCGAGGAGAGGGCAGGGGAGGTGGAATGAGCAGCGGGAGGGATGGTATGTTCACAATGCATACGAGAGTGCATCTGAACGCTGTCGTCAAGTTCACAGTGGAACAAGCAGTATAGATCTTAACACCGCGATGGGTTAACCGCCGAAAACAATGAATGCTGGCGGTGGTATTCCCCTTGCACAGTGTTTGCTAACGCTGCCAATCGCTTGAACACCTCTGACTAATAAAAGGAACGCTTGTCCTCACAAAGGATGGCTCGCAATCGAACGTCGCGAAACAGCGCGACCACTTCATGCTGGCACTGCACCATCCTCTTCTGACTCATATTGGCCATGGTTTTACAGTGGGCACGCATAAAGGGGCTGAAACAACTACCCAACCCTGGGTTACAAGTGCGTGGTCTGTAAACCTCCTGGGAAGTCCCAGAGCCTAGAAAGCCGCCAGGACGCCGCACATCACGCAGGGTTCACCCTGTTGGCTCACAGGAGGTTCAGCGCACAGCGCCTCGTAAACCAGGGCACGGTTTTTTTTTGCGCCCTTGAGGGCAAGCAGGCGGAGGGGGTGCTGATGGTGAAGGTATCCCAAGACGGGCCAGCGGGGGGGCCAGGGACGTAATGAAATAAGAAGAGGCGCCATGACATCTGGGGAAACATCATGGCCCCCGCCGTGATATCCACCCCCCCCCTAGCCATCACCCCCCTCTTTTTTCCGCCCCCGAAGCACACCGGGTCGGCAGAGCGCACCGCACCGCGGCTGCATCGGCGACGCATCGGCGATGCTTCGGCGTCGCCGGGCCGGAGAAGAATTGGGCTGCAGATCGCGCCGCAGCGTCGAGAAGCCTCTGCGGTGCAGCGCGAGCCTCCGACCAGGCTGCTGCCTCGAGAACTCTCTGGAGGTCCCCCGAGGCCCCAGAGGGGATCCCTGAGGCCTCGAGATTTGCCCTCTGCGATGCATCGCGCCGCATCGTCGAAGTCTCTGCGATGCGGCGCGGTCCTCCGACCAGGCTGCCCCCTCGAGAGCTCTCTGGAGGTCCCCCGAGGCCCCCAGAGGAGCCCTGAGGCCTCGAGATTTGCCCTCTGGGGCCTGGGGACGCTACGCAAGGCTTTAAGCTACAACAGGAGAGACTGGCCATCGCCCGGACGTCCGTTCCCTGTGCCTTTTTCGGTTTCGTGCGTGGCTGCTTCGCCAAATGATCAAGGATGATCCTCGATTGTCCTCGCCGAAGGAAAAATGCACACGTCCGAGCGATGCCGAGGAGAGGGGCCGGAGAAGAGAGCATCGCGCGCGGGGGGGGGAGGACGCGATAGCTGAGGCCTCGCGGGGGGGGGCAGGTGGAGGGCCTCTCGGGGTCAGGGGGCAGCGGGGGGAGGGACAGGAGGAGAGGGGGCAGGGGGAAGGGATGGGGGTCAGGCAGGGGGCAGCGAGGGGAGGGACAGGAGGAGAGGGGGCAGGGGGAAGGGATGGGGGGCAAGGGGGAAGCGCAGGGGGAAGAGGGAAGAGGGGAGGGGGGCGGGAGGGGAGGGGAGGGAAGGAGCGGGTGAACAGGGAGGAGGAGCCGTGAGGGTGGAGGGAAGAGCGAAGAGGGAGGGGAGGGGGGAACAGGGAACGGGGGCGAAGGGTGAACAGGCAACGGAGGAGGGAAGGGAAGATCAGAGGGGGAAAAGGGGCTGGGGGGGAAGAGGGAAGAGGGACGGGGAGGGAAGGAAGCAAAGCAGGAGCGGCATGATGGAAGCGAATAGGAGGCCAAGGGAGGGTAAGAAGAACCCGCGGAAATTCGCGTCGTGACGGCATTCGCTTCTGACACCGCGTGCATCGCCGGTCTTTTCGTCATCGGCCGATTCCGGGACACTGGCGATTTTTTACCTGGATCTCTCAGGCTGGGGTCGCCGCCGCACGATACTGACACACCCATCCCAAACCCACTCAAATATCTACCCCGGGACCACCTCTGGGCTTCATCCTGTGTAGTTCTTCACCCTGGATGCACAGTCAAATCGTATAATAAGAATGCATGGTAAGGACGCAAGGATATTGGAGGGCCATGTTGGCGCTGCCGAACGGGGCTGACCAGCGACAGTCGCCAAGGATGGGCCGAGGGGGCAACAACGCAAGAGTGGCCTCGGAAAGTTGATCAGCCTTACTATGCGCCTTGACTGTACGCTCGGTACTATCCCAGTGCCAGGTCGGGCCTGCCCTCCTACAGGCGGACTTTGGAAGAAAAATGCAAATGTCCGAAACATCGAACCCTGACTATCTGCTTTAAACTAGTTTTGAATGGATTCCCTCCTGCAGGCGCCGGGCGCCCAGACCCGACGCGCCAAGCTGCGCGCCTCGAGCCCCGCGAGGGGGGGGGGGGGGGGGCTGCCTTCACCCCCATCCGCGCCCTCGCGCCGCCACCTTGGACCCTTCGAGACGACGACGACGACGCGAGACGAGCCCCCTCTCCTATGGAGAACGAAGGAATTTCATAGAACATAAAAACTCAGAGGTCCGCGCGGATTTCTCGGATCTGCGCTGGGCCCCCCTGGCGGTGCCTCTGGCGCCGCCCCTGGCGCGCTCCGCGCGCCAGGGCGGGCCTCTGAGTTTTTATGCTTTACGCCATTCTTCGTTCCCCGATCTCTGGTCCTCCTCCTCCTCCTCCTCCTCCTCCTCCCCCCCCTCCTCCTCCTCCTCCACCTCCCCCTCCTCCTCCCCCTCCCCCTCCCCCTTTGGCCTGGACCGCGACGCGCGAAGCGCCGTGATCTGCGCGCCACCTTAGGGCGGGGCGACGAGGTCTGCGCACGCCCACCGCCCCTGGCCGGGCCCGTCCCTGGGATCGGGATGCGCCCCCCCCTGGCTCGGCCGGGGGTGGCGCGCGCCGCTCCAGGGCCCAGGACCGAGGGGCAACGGCAGCGGGGGGGGGGACTGGCACAGGGGGGGGGGTGCATCGACCTGGAATCGGCGAGACATCGCCGATAGATCGGCGACAGGCCCCCGATAGCGCCTCCGCACCTTCCTGGGCGGGCTGGGGCCATCGGGCCCCTATCGGCGATGAATGGGCGATTTGGGGTCGACGCATCCCCCCTATGCCTATCCGCCCCCTACCGTCGCCCCTGAAAGATGGACCTGGCCAGGGGCGGTGGATGTGTGTACGTCGAGGAGGCGCAAGCGTGGACTAGCAGCCTTTAAGTTCACAGAGGGACACACAAATAAATATACACAAACGAGAGGATTCCCCATATTGTCCAATCCGTTTTGGATCCTCGTCTTCCCCCCTCCCCACACTTCCCTTATTTTCCCATATTTTCGGGAGCGGCAAGGAGGGGGGTGTCCAAGAGGGGAGGGCGCAAATCATGACCGGCGGCATGTGCGCGGCCCAGCGGAGGGGCCAGGGACGTAATGAAATAAGAAGAGGCGCCATGAAATCTGGGGAAATACCATGGCCCCCGCCAGGATATCCCCCCCCCTAGTCATCACCCCCTCTTTTCCGCCCCCGACATTTCCTGGGGATCGACGATGAACTTGCGTCTGTGAGTTCCTTCCCCTCCCGAGTGTCGGCATGCTGCGTCGACGCATCGGGCGGCGCTGGCCTCCCGCTTCGGGGGGTACCTTCCCCGGCCCCTGGCTGGCCATCGCTCGGACGTCCATTCCCCGTTTGTTTTTTTCGGTTTCGTGCGTGGTTTTTTCGCCAAGTGATCAAGGATGCTCCTCGATGGCCCTCGCCGGAGGAAAAATGCACACGTCCGAGCGATGCCAAGCGCGCCGGATCCACGGATCCCCGAGCCAGGCCGACGCGTGCCCGGGCACGGACCTCGTCGCCCGACGCCCTCCCCCCCCCAGGAGGGGGAAAAACACACAGACACAATCAATCGTCGAATCCCCGGAAAATATGGGAAAATATGGGAAGTGGGCGGGAAGGCAAAAACCCAGAGAACATGGGAAAATGTGGGGAATCCTCTTATTTGCGTGTATTTATTTTTTGTGTCCCAGGGCCCCTTCAAAAAGCTTTTATTCGGCGCCCGAGTTATCCGGGGTAACTCGGGTCCGGGGTAAGTCGGGTTTGGATTCCCGAAAAAGGAACCCGAGTTAGCCCTGACCCGAGTTACCCCTGATGATTCGGGGCTCTGGACGCCCGAGTTATCCGGGGTAAGTCGGGTCCGGGGTAACTCGGGTTTGGATTCCCGAAAAACGAACCCGAGTTATCCCTGACCCGAGTTACCCCTGATGATTCGGGGCTCTGATTTTAGGTCGTCCTGCACTGTTCGGCGAGAGCCCCGGGCACCCGAAGGCGAGGGGGGGAGGTGCCGGCCGATGACCGGACCCCTTCGCCCGGGGCAGCCCCGCGTGCGCCAGCGCTTCACCATGCAGCGCTGCGCACCCCCTTCGGACCTGCGCCACCGACGAGGTCAGGCGATTTTGGGGGAGAGGAGAGGGGGGCGGGGATTGCGCAAGGTGCCCCTGGTCCAGGGTGCTCCCAGCTCTTCGTTCCATGTTGGGGCCCCTGGGGCCTTCTGGGCCTCGTGAGGGAGGAGGAGGAGGAGGAGGAGGAGGAGGAGGAGGAGGAGGAGGAAGAGGAGGAGGAGGAGGAGGAGGAGGAGGAGGGGACCTCCTTGGAACTCTTGGGGGGAAACCCTGGGCCAGGGGCACCTCTGGCAGCACCTGGAACGGGGGAGGCGGGCGGGCCCCATGCCCTGGGCCGTCGCCAGACCCTTGAAAAAGGCAACTTCAAGCACCGGGGGGGCGCCACGCCCGCGCGCGACGGGGAGGGCGCCGCCCTCGGTGGCCACCGGCGTGCGGGGGCCGGAGCGGGGCGGAGCTGTGCGCCCGCGGCTTGGCCAGCGGCGGTGGCCCTGTGCAACTCCCGCCGACCGTTGTGTGGGGGGGGTAGGAGAAAGGAAAAACGGCACCACCATCAAAAGACGAGGAAGAAGAAGAAGAAGAAGAAGAAGAAAAAAACGAATAAACATAAACTGTTGGCGCTCCGCGCGGATGTCTTGGATCCGCGCTGGGCCCCGCTCCCTGGCGCGCGCAGCGCGCCAGGGCCGGCCGCGGACCGGCCGCGGAGGCGCCACTGGTGGGGGGTCCAGACTCGAGACGCGGATCCAAGAAATCCGCGCGGAGCGCCAGAAGTTTATGTTTGTCAGTGTTTTTGTTGTTATTATTATTAGTAGTATTACAATTATTATCTTTATCATTATCATTATCATTATCATTATCATTGTTATTATTATTATTATTATCATTATTATTATCATCATTATTATTATTATCATTATTATTAGTATTATTATTCGTTGTGTCTTCGTTTGCTCCGTCATATTATTTCTTATTCGTGATTCTCTCTTATTCTTGAAAGTTTAGTTTATACTTGTAAGTGGTTTATGTTTGTGTGTTGTTTCTTCTTCAAGCCAGGCGCCACCAGCAGGACGAGCCAGTGTGGGTCCCCGTGGAGGTGTGGCCTCCCCCTCTCTCGGGTCGGGCGAAAAGGGGGATAGCATAGGGGGGCTTGAGAATCAGCTCACGCAGCTGATTTTCCCGGCGCCTCCTGGCGCCGGCGGCGGCGATGCATCGAGGAATGGGCCCCTCGCAGTGGGCCGAAACCAGCTGCACGCCGCAAATTTGTACCCCCCTTTCGTCCCGCCCGGCTCTCGCTCGAGGCAGCCCCCATCCTAGAGGCCTCCTAGATGGGGTCCGAGTAGATGGGGCCGAAGGATCGCACCGCATCGCCGATGCATCGCCGATGCACCGGCGATGCATGTGCGACGTCGGCGTGGAGAAAATCGGGCTCCGCATCGAGCCGCGTCGGCGATGCATCGGCGATGCGGCGCGATCCTCCGACCCCATCTACTCTTGGAGGCCTGGAAATGGGCACCAACACCAAGACAGGGGGCTGCCTCCACAGGGGGGAGGTGATCCTAGATTTCGGTGTTGGTGGTAATATTTCGGTCACCTAGGAAGCCAGACAATTACCACCATCACCGAGATCGGGATCTTCTTCCCTCGGTGGAGGAACACCGCCGATATTGGTGTTGGTGTCAACCTCCAGGCCTGCGATACTCCGACCCCATCTGGGAGGCCTGGACATCCCCGGCTCGGGGAGGCGTCGTGGACCTCCTCGCCGGGGGTGGTCTCCCCGGTGGCGGCGACGCCGCCCTGCCGCCCCGGCGAGGGGGCCTCGGGCCCTCGAGGCGGCCGCCTCGAGGCCGCGCGTCATCGGGGGCCGTCCTTGGGGCCTCCCGGGGGCTTCCTCCTCCACCGAGGACGACGACAACGACGACGACGACGGACGACGACGACGACGACGACGGACGACGACGACGACGACGGACGACCGACGGAGGGACGACGACGGACGACGACGGACGACGACGACGACGACGACGACGACGACGACGACGACGACGACGACGACGACGACGACGGACGACCACGGACGACGGACGACGGACGACGACGACGACGACGACGACGCGGAGGCAAGTCACTCGCCCTCCCCTCCCCCCCTGCCCCTGACGCCTACGGCGTCCACCTCTTTGGAGCCCAAGGCGCGCGACGGCATGGAGCGAGGGAGCGGCCCGGAAAAACGACAACTCGATCCTCAAGCGGCGCGACATATTATGTTTGCTTCAAATGGAAAGCGATTCTAGTCTCAAGACGTTGGTGGACTAGCGGAGAAGAGCACCAAATAGCTGAAACTGACGGCAAATAGCGGCACCGTACTAGCGGCCAGTAGCGGCACACGCCCCTCGCCAACCATCCACCAATTACCCCTACATTCGCCGCCGGTTGCCGCCAGACGCGACAACAAAAACGCTCGGTGACCTCCAGGCTTCGATGCAACAAGCATACGACATACGCCGAAGCGCGCCGACGACCTTCGCCGCCCACTGGGTCGGCATGGGGTGGAGGCGGGGCTGGCGGGGGAGCGAAACCAATATATATATATATATATATATATATACATATATATATATATAGCAATGACACGCCGCCGTGGGGAGTCCATCCGCGCGTTGCTGTGCCGGGCGTGGGTGTGGAGAGCTCTCCGCCACCGCGCCTGTGGGCGTGTCCTCAGGTCCTCTGCCTACTCGCTGGAGCCCCAGTCCTCATCAGGAAAGAAAAAAACCACAGACACAATTCATCGTCGACTCCCAGGAAAATATGGGAACTGGGCGGGAAGACAAACACCCAGAAAATATGAGGAAATATAGGGGAATCATTTGATCTGTGTGTATTTGTTTGTGTGTGTCCTTGGGCCCCTTGACCCCAGTCCCGAGGAGTCTCCGAAGGGGCCCGGACCCAAAGTTCCAGGGCTCGGCCGGGCTTCCCGCGTGCCCCCGTGGCCTCCGGGAGGTGTGCTCGCGGCGGCGGCTCGGGCCCTCGAGGCGGCGGCCCCAAGACGGGCCAGGGGGGCCCCAAGACGGGCCTCCAAGAGGGTCCCGGGAGGCCCAAGGATCGGCCCTATGACCCGGGGCGCCCAAGATGGCCTCGCAACGGCCCAAGAGGCCGCCAAGGCGCCCCGTCTCCAAGAGGCCTCCCAAGAGGGCCCCAAGAGGCAAAACTCAACGAGTTCCCTTCAGTGTTTGAAGGATTTGGGCGTTCTCGCCCTTTCGGCTTTCGGACGCTCCAAGACGGACCTAGAGGCCCCCAGGACCATCCCAAAACGGCCTAAGAGGCCTACAAGAGTGCCCCAAGACGGCATAAGAGCGCCCCAAGGCAGCCCAAGAGGAGCCCAACACGGCCCAAGAGGGCCCAAAGACGGTTCCAGAAGGGACCCAAGAGAGGGAACACGAACCGAAAATCCAAGCCTTCCGCCCCAAGAGGCCCCCAGGAGGCCCCAAGAGGCGCCCAAGAGGCCCCAAGAGCCCCCCAAGAGACCCCCAAGAGGCCCCCGAGAGGCCCCAAAGAGACCCCAAGAGGCCTCAAAACGGCCACCAAGAGGCTTCGAAACAGCCTCCCAGAGGCCACTGAGAGGCCTCCCCACGAGACCCCAACGACCATCCAATAGGCTTCAGACCCACAACCCAGGCACGGTGACAGGATGGACCGAAGGCCATTAGACAGCTTGACCAGAGGAGGCCCGAATATATCCACAACCACCGCCTGCCGACGTCCTCAAAGATCGAACCCCTAGACACTGGTTATGCATAACCCCCCCAAATCAGACACTGTTTAGAAGTACCTGGCTTGCGGACAAAAGCGAAGCAGCAGCACGCTGATGGGCTCCCAACGGCAGCGTGTCATTGATGCTCAGTTTCCCTCCCGAGCTGATGATTTGGGCCAATCCGCCGCCAC